AGAGGAGAGGAGGAGGAGAGGAGAGAGAGAGAGAGAGAGGGAAAGAAAAGAAAAAAAAAGGTTAAATTTCAAAGACTTTCTTATAGGTTATGCGTGAACAACAAAATTTAATAAATAACGAAAGAGTTCAATATTATCGTAATAGACATCAACATGAAAATCAATTCATTAATCAACCAGTAAATGTTGAAATTTTGCAAAATCAGGAAGAATTAAATAATAATCAAGCAAATATTGAAAATGTTTAATAATATTTCTCATTTTTATTCTTTCATTTCTTTTTACTTCACTTCTTAAACTATCATTTATATGTATAAATATGATGTAATAATGTAATATTCAAATTTTTAGTACAATAATTTGATTTCCAATTTTGCTTTTCCTTTTAATAACACAAATTTCACAATAATGTATTCATGTAATAGCATAATTATCCGAATTGGATGAATTTTTCCGCCCAATTTTTCAACATTTAGGATTAAAATTGATGCATAATTTGATATATCAATTATGCATAAATCAATGATTGATATACTATTACTAAGATATACTGATTCATATTATAATTTGTAAAATTAACATATCAATTAATCAATCCCCATATATCGATCAATTTATTTGATTACAAAAACTAACATCAATTCATAGTATATTCATAGAAATAATTGTATTAGTTATTAATCCCGAATATATCGAATCAATGTACATTCATTTATTATTGAACATGTATCGTTTGCTAATTATTACAATAAATTTGTTCATATTTGTAATCAGAGAATTGATGCAATAGTTTTCATAATTTCTTGATTAAAGTTAAATGAGTCAATAATGAACAATTTTGGCTTTGGGAGATTTTTTTTTACAACAATTGATTGGTCAGAAAGGATATGGTAATCATTTTTGCAAAAATCATGTAGTTTCGCAAAAAGTTCAAAAAAGAAAACGAAAGATATAAATGTAATCAAATAGGTTTTCATTTCTATAATGTTATAAAATTAATTGAAATTAAGAAACAAACGTAATCGTGGAAATAATCAAACATGTAAACCACAAGACCAATTGATGTAAGCTTACAAAACGGGTTCCTTTATCACTGATATATTTAGCTTATTAATTTCTCTCTGATTGATTAAAATTTGAAATTGAATTAATCAAAAAGAAATGATTTCATGAACTGACAAGCCCTATTTCACTTTTCTTTTTGAACGGTAATCAAAATTTTTGATAAATTTAATCATTTTTGAAAGGTAAAAGCATTAAGGTTACACGACCACATGAGAACTAATTAAACATCTAGAGGATTATTGATGGATGAAGATTTCATAACTTCCACTAAAAACTTCTCCAAAAATTATTTATCAGATTAAAATCGAACTCAACTGTGTAACATAGAAATAAATTATACTTGAGTATAGCATATCATTTAATGATGGAATTGATTAATGAATTGAATTGAGGAAAAGCCAATGTCTGCTGAAAAATGATTATGATGATAATGATTTGGCTACTTCAAATTCATTCGTTAAGATCATAGAAGATTCTAGACAGTTTGATCAAGCAATTTGCAATAAAACATTTTTGCTTGAAAAGTTATCGAAATTGCTGATAAACTGATTAGCAATATCATTCAGACAAAAGTGTATTTTTAAAATAGTAAAACAAACATCTGAATAATTTATCTAGAGAAACTGATGAGAAAAAAAAGTATGTAAAAAAACACATTGGTTTTATGCTGTCGCATCTTCAGATAAAGATAATATGAGTAGAAAGACACCAGTTTGAAACACTTATATGTGACATGAAGTGTTTCATGGTTCCTTCATAATCAAAGTTATTTCAACCGTGACTAAAATTAAGTGGCATTTAATTACAAATATTTTCGAACTATCAGTAAAATGGCTAAAAATCAGCATGTCATTCATTCGAAAACAACTCACAAATTGTGAAGAAATAGCGTAATCTAGAAGACGCTAACATGAACTGGAAATAACAATGCATAAAATATACAGAAACAAATTATATTCGAAGAGAAAGGAAAAATCACAGGATTTTTTTTTCTTTTTGTTCATCTCATTCTAATTAGTCATTGCCATTTTCTGATAATGACGCTGTTGAGGGACCAAATTTTTGAAGCCTTCGTTGTCGAATTTCATCCAATTCAGTAGTTTGTGCAGAAGAACAAGCTGGTGTCGTATTATCGACGCCTGATGATGATGGACACTTATCTGTTTTAGGATTTTCACTTGAACTAGCTACTGGTGTATTACTAAGACTAGGTTCATGGCGCAATGACTCATTAACTGAATTTTCGTCGACAGCGGAAGTTCCAGGTAATGTTGCATCATTGGATGGTACAGTCGCATTTGCATTTGCTGCTGCAGCTGCATAAGCCGGAACACTACAAAAAACGTAGAAAAATTTCAGATAAAAGAATCATATTCAAAAAATTTCTAAAGAAATGCTGTAAAAAAATTTTAGTAATCTTCTGTATATACAGTGTCTGGATGCAGATGTATCAGATAAATAATCAGAATCTGCATTCATATAGCCAATACAAAATCTTTATCGCATTTGTAAAACTCAAAACAATTAACTTCCCTCTTTAAGCGTCATTTTCTTATAGCTAATTATTACCATTCTTGAAATACTTTTATTAGTGATATGTTATTCCGCAACATATTTTCAAAATTCAATTTCACCTCAATGACTGCACGATACTCATATACTGTTGTAGTTGCATGGTAGCTGCATCCAATAATAAGCTGATATTACGAATACAGTTTATACGTGCTTCGACAGCTGCTCGTTCCGTTCCTTCCATAGCAGCAACTTCTTCATCTGTTAGACCAACAAAACTTGGAACCGGTGGAAATGGAAACATTGGAGGTACCGCAAATGGTGGTAATGCCTAGAAGAGACAATGGTAGAGGATATATCTGAGACAGAGTTACACTACTAACGAGCTAAACAAACTACTATAGTATGATTTGAAATTTTTTTTGGATTCATCACCTTCTGCTCTGAGTAAAACTGGAAATTTTCAAGTATTATTTATTTTATTCAGCTCTAGTCAAAATTAAACAAGTTTGGTTTTCAGTGATTTCAAAATTTATGTAAAATTTCTCAAGAGATTATGTAGAAATAAAATAAACGAGGAATGAAAGCTCCTGAAAAAGATGTGCTCGGACGATAGTAATGATTAATAACTAAAACGAAAATGATGTCTGAAAATTTTCCTCCTTATTTTTTTAAAATGTGATAATTTAATTTAACTATAACTTAACCATAATGCACCATTGAGAACAGCTATAGTTTTGCATTGTAATTTCAATTCTAGCTATTTTCAGAACTTATCCATTTTATTACAGTAATGCACTAAATTACTTTGTCAGCAAAACCTAATCACAAAACCTAATCAAAACTTGAGTATTTACTGATCAGAAATCAACAGCGTATGGAAAAATAATCATAGCATCAATTAGTATTGTAAAAAGTACATTTACTATAACATAATCAAGTATCTTTCAAAAAAATTATTCGTAGACTTTTCCATTAGCTTTATCTAAATGTATCAAAGATATTAATGAACAGAAATCTGTCTATTAAAACAGTAACCATAAATGGAAATCCTGGTGCTGTAGCTGGAAACTGAGGCATACTGAAACCGGTACTAGGGAACGGCATTTGAGGTACACTATTGCCATCATTATTTCGTTGGCTAGCCGTGCTGGTTCCAGCTTGTGGTTGTTGCTGTTGTTGTTGTTGCGGTTGTTGCGGAAAAGCGAACTGAGCCATAAACGGAAACATATTTGGAATTTCTGCGCCATTATTTGCTGGCTGAACTCCTGCAACATTTTGCCCTACTTGAGCGGGTCCTGCTGCAGGTGCAGCTGCTCCTCCAGCTGCAGGTGTTGTTGCTGTTGTCCGTCGTTGTGCTGTAATTTATTAATTATAAAAATAAAGTTTGTTTGGGAAAAAGAAAAAAAACTCTTCAGTCTTCAATAACAATGAAAACTTAAACTTTCTTTGTGAGGAAGGACAAGTACTTGGAAAGCTACCAGAAATGTATATGAAATGAGTTGCAAAACAAATGTAAACCTAAAATATCAGTACGACAGGTTGGGCAGCTCTGTTGTCGTTGGAACCATGAACGGAGACAGTTTGCGTGGAAAATATGATTACACGGTAGTTTCTTTGCTCCGCTAACCGGTGTCATCTCCTCACGGCAGATTATACATGTATTGTCACCTAAATTAGAATTAAAACATTAAGAGGAAAGAACTGCATCATTAAAATTCAGACAACAAGCAACTGAATAAAAGAGAAAATTCTACATACCGACCAATGTTTCTATTGAAAAACACAAGAAAAAAATTCTTCGAAGATATTTAAACTCATAATTTCACTTGAATAGACCTTAACGTGTCTTAAGCTCCGGTACAAAAGGACTTGAAAATTTGTGTTATTTTTAAGAAGCACTTTGTGGGCACCCGTAAATTGCCACTTCAAGTAGTAACCTACATGCGTAAAGTGACTATTAAAATGGATACCCTGCAACAAATCCTGTTCGGTAGCTAGTGGGAACAGATTATTCATGGCATGTATCGCACGTCTTGAAAGTATAACATCATTGATTGCCTTATGGAATGCTCGAATAGTAAGATAAAGTGGACGGATGGAAAATAATGGGAAAGTATGCAGACGTATCATTACGGCCACAAATATAATATATAAAATGCAACGGAGGCAATCTAAAAAATACTACTCATTTATTTTCCTGGAAGGTTTTCAAACTTTTGAATTCATTGATAAGAAGAAATCAGGTATGGGAATGATAAAACATATCAGATTTTTTTGTAGCAATCTACGGAACAAATTACAATGCCTTAATATCTATCACCTTACTTATCCTTCCAATTCCATAATCGAAAACCAATTTTTTAACGGAATAAATTATTCTGTTAGAAATATGAGGCAATAATAAATCTAATTTTAAAAAATGCCAATAATTTTCATATGTCCCATGACTAATCATCCAGAAAATAAAATGATTATGACAAATCCACCAGGAATTCCGCAAGAAAAAAAAAGGAGAAAACAAACACACTGATAAGGAGTTCCGAATAGAGCAAATAAACTGCTTTATTCTCCCATGGATGTACATTTCGTAAATCATGCATATGTAGAATATATTTAATTGTTACATGCAGTACAACTGTCATTAACACTGCATACTGCAAGAAAAAAATGATAATAACAGTTAAATTTGAGCAGTGTTCCATCATCGGTTGGCATGACAACGGTTATATAATTGTCAAAAGGACCTATGCTATGAACGCATTTTGATAAGTGAAATGATAAGTGATTCGAAAATATCTGAAAGTTTGAAACCAATGTCGGATATCCTCAATGCTACAAGGATATATTTCTTTCTACTAATATTGTAACATGGTAAATTATTGAAAATCACCAACCTCAAACCCAAATACAATTTGCACTGATGCGCCGCGAACAAGTGTTGTGAAATATGCATGTGATATAAAATAACTATCCAGAGCACTCAAAAAGGCAAGTAATGCTGGAAGTATTAAAAACCATTCATTATTCGTAAAAACTATTATTTCATGACAAGACTTATGTATGACATCTTCGTAAAATTACTCATTAAACTTAAATTTGAAGTTTAATTATTTGATTACTCGTCGAAGAGAAATTTTGAATTATTAACTCAATGTGTGAAAACCTCAAGAGTAAGAAAAATCAGAAATCTGAACTGACTTAATAATTCACTAAGAAAAACATTAAGAAAAGTTAAGAAAATGTTAAGAACATACACATCATCCTGCAATGAAACAATACAGTTATAATTGGACTTCGTTCCATAAAATCGACCCGATCTTCGCTTAGCCAATGAAACAATTTGATAAAAAGCAAAAAAACAAATTGCATTACAAAACGGGGGGAGAAATCATCACGGAACACGGTAAATGCTAAACATGTCTCCATAACAGCATGCCATGTCCTCTCCGATAGATGCTGAAAACACAAAAACTACTTTAGTTTGGGACATGTATTCAGGTTAATATTAAGCACTCATCAGATATTTTCAACCAGATATTTCGAAATTAACATTCGTTTATGCAGAATCATACAGTGAATGCAGAACCAAAACTAATGTAGAATCTACAGTGAATTTAACTTATCTATATGTATACTGACATCGAATAGATTCTTCGAAACATGTGATAGGTTAGAGCGAAGTATGGAAGATGTATTGTAGGGGATGTTTGGAGAATATTAGTAAATTATCTGTTATTTAAAGAAAAAACTTTAGTTCCTTTTTTCTTTAAACAGTATAAAAGTCTACTCTATTTTCTGAAAATGGCTCTTCAACTTAATATATTCTAACTGAAGTTTAAATTTAAGCAAAATTAATTTGCAAAAATCCGATACTTACCTCATATTCAGCAGCACGTAATTCACCAAAAAATAGTTTCCTAACGATTTGAAAAATCATATATGCGATAACTAATCCTTGTATATACATCACCTGCAATATAATATATACAAGGTATTTTCCAGTAATACAATAAAAACTTTATTAGCATAAACTGTCAAAATTCTTTCCTTTTCAATTTCTTGAGCAACTAAAAAATCAAAAGATGAAATTTTTTTTTAAAAAGAAAAAAAAAGAGCAACTTACTGCCATGGAAGGACTACTTTTTGTAATATAAACAACCGATGGATAAAACTGCTTTTTTTGGAAAAAAGCATTTCCAACGGTAAGAGAAGTAAGAATAACGCTTGCCGTTGTTAAAAGAAACGTTGATGCAAGTGCCATTTAATAAAGTATTCTGAAATGAAGGAAATAAAAATTAAATTCTAGTGCAAATTTTGTTACATCATAAGAGCAAAGAAAAAAAAAATCTATTTATAACATTCTGCCAATAATTCATCATTCTTGAAAACGAAAAAAAAAAAACAATAAAAGAGCAAAATTTATGTAGCGATTAAATTTTAAATTACTTCAACAAATGCTTATCACGTGGCTTATCATCCAAAGTTATATCATTTATTATAACATTGCCACATTTTACGTGGAAATAATGAAGAAATTCAAAAAAAAAAAAAAAAATTACAGCAAACGTCACCACTACCCCCACCTTAATCCCTCATATTCTTAAGGAAAAAAAAAAAAAGAAAACTAGATCATATGTTATTATTAACAAGATATCGAGCTAAATGAAATCTTCTTCGGGAAATATGAAATTCAATAATGAAGCAACAGACATCCGGGAATTAATAAACTATTTCTAATGCGAACTGCTTAATGGTCAAGTTACTCTTCATTGTTTTTAAGCTATTATTGACTTCAAATAGTTTTAAAACTTCATTAATTGTGGAAATGTATTAAATGATATGATTAAACGAAATATTACTCAAAATTTTAAAAAATACAATGTCTTAAACTTAATTATTATAAAAATACTATATTGTAATTGCTGCTGAAGAAAGTCCTCAATATGGATAAACACTGATGAAATGCTTACAATATATAAGATTAATTAGAATAAATTAAGCAATGTGTAAAACAATAGGAATAATATATCCTTACCACTATCATGATTCGTTATATTTATTAATTAGGAAATGGGATAGAACTAACGTTAGCATAAGATTAAATGCTAGATAAAATTATGACTATATATCGATTAACCTCTGAATATACTAATCATTTCAATGAAAATCATAGTAACATTTTCAAATTATTAGTACGTAAAAATCTATATAATTAATAATTAACTTACTAAATCTATTGTATATCTTTTAGTCTTTTAACGCAATTCCGCACTATTTACTTTTTTTTTTCTCTCTTAAAAAAAGCAAAAAGTGATACCGTTAAGAGATTTTATGATATCTTTTCTAAATATTCATAGCTATTTCAATATATGTTAAGTTGTCGAAATGTTCATCTATTTCTATAAATAGTTCAATTCTCAGCTACCTTTGGTCACATAATTGTTGAATGATTAAATTAAATTAGAGCAAAAAAACAATGACCACTGAACAAAGAATATATCATTCATGCCACTAAAACGAGAAGGTATGGAAGTAGCAAAAAATTTCGCAGAATTACAATATTTAAGTGTAATTTTCAATAAGAATTCCCTCCCTCTTTTTTTTGGTTCATCATCCGTCTAAAATATGTATTTTAGCAATAACAGCAACTACATCTAGATATCTTGAATAATTAATATGATAAATATGATATAGTAAATAGTGAATAATAAATATATGATAATACCGAAATCAATAATACGATATAAGGAAGTAAATTGAGCAGATTAAAAGATTATATTCTCGTAAATTTCGGAAGACAATATTGCAATCTGAAAACTCTCCGTTGAAACTATCATTCCGACTCTAATTTAGAAAAGATTAAAAGTACTTCAACGATCCTTTTCAAGCTCTATCCTTCTATTTGAATCGATATCATAGTTTAGAATAATTTGGCTCATAATTTCTTCATACTATCCACTAAACTAAGCATCGTTTTTAATTACTTTAAAATATTGGACGTTAAACTAGACATTAAATTCTTTTTCAGTAACACTTTTATTACCACTTAAAAATTTACAGCTTCTAATCTAATTAGTAAAAAAGAAAAAATCAAAATAACTTCGTTATCCAGAATAACAAAAAGTGGAGAAGATATTTCACTATTAATCAAGCTGTTCAACCGGAAAGACAGAAAAAAAAAAGACCCGTTGAGAAATCATTTTTCGTTAATAAATTCGCAAATAAAAAGGTACTCCTTGATATATTCGATAAGTTTAATGAAAAATACAAATAAAGGCAGCAATCATATATGATGCTTATTGAATTGATTGAAGCCCAAAATTTTGGTAAATTTTTCATTTACATGTAAATGGTACTAAATAACAATAACAATAGAAGAATACGAAATTACAATACAAAGGTATGAAGATATATATATATATATATATATAAAGTACCATCACCAAATCAAACTACTATCTATCACATGCATGTAGTGCATTATCATAAATAAAGAAATACTTAAAACCAATAAAAGTATACCAGTCGAATGCTAGGAAGGTCAAATACTACTGGACAAATTATTTCTCTAATTTTGAAGTACCTTCTACAATCTTTTTTTTCAAAGTATCACAAACCATTACGTGATTCTTCTTATTTCCGGTAAAATTAGGAAGATTTGCAGGGGATGAAAATAATCATCAAAGTGAAGTAACTCGGAATGAAATGTCATTTGTTCATTTTTTTTGGGTTAAATATTATTCTAAAGAATTCTAAGATCACCGAACGCGCATAACCTGCACCTATAAACAAATTTGCTTCCCATAAAATTTTCGGCCTACAAACAATTAGGAAAGTTGAAACAGAACTTTGCCAATGACCAATATCATTTATAAAGTATCATCAGAAGGTTAAGTAATAAAGAGAGAAAAAAGTGTATGAATACCACAAACAAGGCTGAAAAAGAACGGGAAAGATTTCATGAACGGAATTCCATCATTAATCAAACTAAAACTTTATTTTTTTCGAACTAAATCTATTTTTCGAAATTTTATGATGACAAAAACAAGTCATCAGACTTACGAAAATTTTCAGAAAGTCTTTTAATAAAATTTATCGCAGTTCTTCACAAATGCCCATAATTCACTGCATCCCTCAGCACTAAAAAGAATACAAAGCAAACCGTATGAGAATATGTGAAACCAAAACAAAAAAACTAACTGAAATCTGAAAATTTAGTACATAGTCATTTAGAAATAAAATTATAAAATTTTGACTGGTGAAATAAAAATTTATTCTCCCATCCCTCCCTCCTCAAAAAAAAAGGAAATTATTGCCAAAATGTGCACTTCTGCATACCAAACATGCCATGGAGTAAACTTAGAAATGAATTTTAAAAATGTTTGAAATGCACAGTGTTTCTGCCCATAAAATGTCATGCATTTCAAAAGTTTCAGTGTTTTTTGCTTTGGTTTCAGTTTCAAAATGAGAGGGAAGGAAAAACAGCATCAAAAGGATCTATAAAGAAATAATAAAATGAATCTGTTCAAGTTAAGATGTAACGGGCAGAAAGACGAGAAAGTGATGAGTATTCTCTAGAGGTTTACAACTTTAATTTTTTGACCTGATTGGAAGTACTGTTTTCCCTTCGTAAGTAAGTCTGAAAAAATTAAAAAAAAAAACTGCAATACAATATTTAGGGATTGCAAAGCTGCCACCACGCAGAACATTATATGGCATGATATGGAATATGGAAGAAAGTAAGAAATGATGGAAAGTGACTAATAAATGAGTTCTGGAAACGACTAAAAAGATAGTTCCCAGTAAAAATTATGAATCCTCAAAATCTCCCCAAGTTAACAGAAATTTCCATGAAAATCGCTGTGAAAAGAGTACAAAAATTGATAATAGCAGTAGCACTAACTAAGAAAAACGATAAATATCACAAAGAAGAAGAAAAGTACACCAAAAACTTTGATAATCAGCCAACGATTTTGCGATATTGAATGGAAATATTTGACCAGCTCCGTATGAGCAGCTTCAATATTTAATGATGTTTCTTCAACGTTCGAATCAATTCGAGTAATCATTTCACCTTGCTCAGTAACTAGTGAAGCGAGCTACAAAAATCCAAATGATGAAAAAATTCTAAATTGAAGAAAATATCTGAAGGAAAACCAAACATTATTTCATCACTTTTTATGCAGTGACCACTCATCATTATTTAAAGAGTTCTCTTATCCTCAGCAAATATCTTACATAACTTGAATTACATATATGTATCACTCTCTGAAGAGACTGTGTTCTTCCTGTCAGACACCCCATGGCAATGAACGCCACGGACACAAATACAACACATTATACCCATCAAAACTTAAGTTCTCTTTCAAATGACCCCAAGAAAGGGTGTTTATATACCTCACTGGACTATTTTGCAACTATATTGTTTGGGCAATAAAATCAAGCTTATTACTGACCAGT